ATGATTAATGGGTCCTTGTCTAACTAGGGGGATGTAACAAGTAGGGTACCCCAGGCCTCAGTTCTAGGCCCAGTTCTCTTCAATATTTTTATCAATGACTTGGATGAGGGAGTGCAGGAAATGCTTGTTAAATTTGCAGATGATACAAAATTGAGTGGAATAGCTAATACCTTAGAAGACAGAAACAAAATTCAAAATGACTTTGATAGGATGGAGCACTGGGCTGATAGGAACAGAATAAAATTCAACAGGGATAAGTGCAAAGTACTTCACCTCAGAAAAATAAACCAATTGCACAGTTACAAGATGGGGAATACTTGGCTCAGCAAAACTACGAGCTAGAAAGATCTTGGAATTGTTGTAGATTACAAGCTAACTATGAGCCAACAGTGGCTACAAAAAGGCAAATGCTATTTTATGCTGCATTAATAGAAGTATACTTTCCAGATCCCAGGAGGTGCTAGTCCCTCTCTATTCAGCACTGGTTAGACCTCACCTTAAGTATTGTGTCCAGTTCTGGACACCACACTTCAAGAAGGATGCTAACAAATTGGAACCAGTTCAGAGGAGGGCGACAAGGATGATCAGGGGGCTGGAAACCAAGCCTTATGAGGAAAGGCTGAAAGTATTGGGCATGTTTAGCCTTGAGAAAAGAAGACTGAGGGGTGGTATGATAAAACTTTTAAAATATTTGAAAGAGTGTCATACAGAGGAGGGGAAGGACCTGTTCTCGATCATCCCAGAGTGCAGGACACACAACAATGGGTTCAAGTTAAAGGAAGCCAGATTTCAGTTGAATATCAGGAAGAACATCCTAACTGTTTACGACAGTGAAACCAGTTACCTCAGGCGTTGGTGAGTGCTCCAACACTGGAGGCATTCAAGAAAAAACTTAGATAATCACCTGGCAGACATGCTTTGATTGTATTCCTGCATTGAGCAGGGGGTGGACTTGATGGCCTTGTAGGTCCCTTCCAACTTCACTTTTCTATGATTCTATGATAACATACTTGGTTAAAAATAGCATTTTGTTAGTGAAGCACACAAGACATTCTCCCTGTCAAGCATAGAACCTCGCAGAAGAGTCCTATGCTTGACATCCACCTTTTCATCATTTAGCTGTCTTGGGTCCTTCCAAGGAGAAAGGTAAAAATAAATAGATAAATAAATAAATAAATAAAGGAAGGAAGGCAGGAAGGCAGGCAGGCAAGCAGGCAGGCAGGCAGGCAGCGGGTAAAGAAATCTCTTAACTGTTTTCAGCTAATCTCACTGTAAGACCTCTTCATACACAACTTATCTACTTATTACAGTACATTATTGATGTTTTAAATAAACAGTTTTTATTGGGTTTGGGCTTGCCACTTAAACAGAATTAAAATTAGTGGCACTAGCATCTATGCTGCCAGCCTTTTTGCTCTGAAAAAATCAGTAGCCAAACCTTACCAGAAATAAGCCTGAGGTTTGCTACTTAGACTTGTTTTTTGAGAAAGGAAATGAGAACACAAATCCTAAAACAACTACAGTTGAACAAGTGTTTGAATAACTATGGATTTCAGATACGTAGTAGTGATCCCCTGCACTAGGCTTCAGAAGAATGCTTTCCCATTTAACAGATCAAAGGGGATATTATCACAACTACTCAATATATATTCCGGAATCTGACCACCAGAGGAAGGCTATTATTGTAACCAGCACAGTGAATGACCCTCTGCCCCATGCAGTTTGTTCATTCTCTGGAAAGCTTGAATGAATGGTGTGTTTTTATTTCCAGTGGTGTCCTCATGGCAGGAGAATGTCATTATTTGATCATTGACTCATGGGATGCATTGTGAAGTGGAACACTCTCTTCCACGCTCTAAAGAATCACTGCCAGAAATGAGAAATGCACTTCTGCCAGTTTCTCCTGGAAAGGAGACATGGATCAAAGCAGGCCAGCCATTTAGCAAAACTTCTTAAAGATTTGCACAGCAGCTTTTGCTACAAGCAGAGATTTCATCCAAGGTGGTATATTTGAGGTGTCACAATTCTGACTTATTTACAGCCTGGAGCAACCCTGTGAGTATTCCAACACAAGCACTATATATGACAGTGCAACATAGACTGCCCCACACTATGTTCCCTTTCTTATAAATCTAAAGATTTGGCTATAGAACTCACTGTCACAGTTTTAATACAGTTCCAGAATAAACACTTCAGTTAGGGAATTCTGTCTCAATTGTAACATGTGTAACTGGAGAGTTAAAGATAAATTTGAGGGTAAATTGAAAACTTTGGGAGGCGGTGGAAGATAGGCGGTGGGAGGCGGTGGAAGATAGGAGGGCCTGGAGTATTAAAAATTTAGGGACTAACATTACTTGGAACTTGCAAGACACTATAAAAATGAATTTTGATAAAGTAAAAAAACAAATGTTAAGGAACAAATAAAGGAATACTAAAAGTTGAATGAAAACAAATATTAAGGAACAAATAAAGGAATACTAAAAGTTGAAGTTGTTGTGGTTTGGAAGAATAACAGAATAAAAAATGAAGAAAATCCCTAAATTAAACTTTATATTTTGAATGTTAACCATAAAGATAGGTGATAAGGAACTAGAAGAATTACAGAATATGATTAATATGTTTTGGAATGGAAATAAAAGACCTAGGATGAACAAAAACTATGGTATATATCTCAAAGAGTAAGATAGATAGATCAAATATTAAATTATACTATATAGCAAATTATCTGAGGCAAATTCCAGAGATCATGGCAAATAGAAAAGAGGTAGTTTGGAGTGATTGGGGGTTTAGTAAGTATGAAGAGAGTGTGGAGAATTTTTTTTAAGGAAAACATGAAATATATTGTTAAAAAATCCCTTTCTAAGTAATATGTTGCAATGTTGGGAAAATTATAGGAAAATATTGAGTCTGAAGATTTCTCAAATGAATCCAGTGGTGAAATTAAGAAATTTCTCAGAAAACCTTAAGAGAAAGTTTAATAAGTTTATGATAGAACAGGGAATTAAAAAATAAAAGATTTAGTAAAGAAGATGTGTAACAGAGGGCGAATAAAAGGAATGTTAGGACAAGAAAGAGTTTCATGGTTCGATGCAACCATGAAAAATGGACTAAGGAATGGAAAAAGAAGAAATGTTAGGACAAGAAAGTTTCATGGTTCAATACAATTAGAAAAATGGACTAAGGAATGGAAAAAGAAGGAAGGAGAGTGTAGAGTGATAATTACATTTGAAGAAATTATTGAAAAGAGGGAGAAGCTGGAATGTAGCAAAATCAAAAAAGGGATAATAAGTTTATTTACAAATTATGAATAGAAGATAAATATAAAATAACAACTCTGAAAGTGGTATGGAGTAGAGATATAAAGAAAGAAATTAGTGATGATGAATGGAAAAGATGTGCAATAAAATAATGAAGAATAAGTCTGTAAGGGATAAGGAAAATTGTTCCAAGGTAATATGGAGATGGTATTTAATGCCAACGAAACTAAATGTAATGAATAAAGAAATATCACCCCCATGTTGGAGATATAAGAAAGAAAAGGGTGCATATTTGCACATGTGGTGGGCATGTGAAATGAGACAGAAGGAATAAATAAAAATCCTAAAGGTGGTGGTACATTTGTGTTTTAGTTTATGTTTTCATTTATTTTAGTTTATGTTTTTGTTATGAAGTTTTATTTATTTGGGAAAATAATAAAAATGTATTTTAAAGAGAAACAAATCAATGTTTACCTAATGCAGCACAAAGCCCTGCCTTCTGGGATGGCACAGCAGCCGTTCTTGAGGACCACAGTCCTTTTTTTGTCACCTGTGAGACCCAGTTGTGTTTTGGACCTAGCCCAGACAGCAGTTTTCTGTTACTCACTTCTTTGGTGGTCCTTTCTGTGTTGGCTTCACAATCTCCTGCAAAATACACCCAAGCCGGTTGTAAGGATCCTTCTGGGCAGCATTTTTCAGCCCCTTGATTTCTAAATCTCTCTGGCGCAGCAGCAGAAGTAGGGCATGTGGATTTTCCAGTAATTCAGAGTTCTGTTGTGGAGCAGTGGAATCTCTGCAAAAAGAACCAGAAGATTACGGTTTGTATAGGAGACTAAGGAGACTAAGCTGCTGCTTTCGTTAGTGTCAGAAATCCTTATTAATCTACTGCAAATCTAATCTTCCGTCTTGATCCACTTTCTGACCGCCTCATTCAAACAAGACGTCTTCACCAAGCTAATTACTGTATATGAAAAATCTAGACACAGACAACTTGCTCTGGGGCTGCAACTACACTTACAGAAAGGACCCAAGGCACTTCACAGAGACTTTGGCCATTTCACATGATGCAAGCCCAGGTGTGGTTTTAAAAGGTTGCAATGGTGCCCTTTTAAAACCGCACCAGAACTTTCACCCAAGCCAGCCAGTGCTGGAGGATTTCCCAGCTGCTGGCAACACTGGGGCTGGCATTTGTCATGTGGCAAAAACAGAGCTGCTGGAGGGTAAAAAGCTGTCCCCGAGGCAAGAACGGTGGCTGACAGGCAATGTGGCCAGTGCCACGTAGGCTTCCGGCCATCTCGGCACTGGCTGGCTGACAGGCAATGCCATTTTGGCCAAGGTGGGGCAGCTCCAGTGGTTTCTTTTTCTCCACACAGCAGGCAGGTGGGGATGATCCAACTCCAGTGCTATCAGCAGCAGTGGGAAGCCTCTGGGCCAGGGAAGCCTCTGTTCCACATCCTACTTTAACAGAAGGATTTGCATCAAAGCAGGACATGCGAAACAGGTGGTTTTAGATCTGTTTTGAGATAATTCTTAGCAAAAAGAAAAAAAAACATAGCACATCTAAAAACCTGCTTGAGCAAAGATGATAGTGAGATGAGTGCACATCTGTTTTGAGATAATTCTTAGCAAAAAAAAAAACATAGCACATCTAAAAACCTTCTTGAGCAAAGATGATAGTGAGATGAGTGCTGTGCCCACACCATGGAAAGCAAGGCCTCTTTCAAATGATAATGATGATGACGTCTCTCCAGCCATTCATTTTCTGAATATACGGGATTGTATTTTATTCTGTACCCATTTTTACATAATGTTTTTATCTTTGGGTGGGTGCACAGGAGTTTAGGGACCCTTGGAAACTAAGAAGTGACAAATAGTACATGCCGGACTGCCTGAATAAATAAAAAGTCATTACCTGGAGGTGATATGACACCAAGGTTGGCATCAGGTAAGCATTTCTGAGCTGAACATTTCATGGGTTGCCATAACTAAAAGAAAAGCCGCATTGTTTCCTCAGGGCTTAAGGAGGCCTGATTTAATGCAGTCTAATTTCCTGCAAGCACTCAAGTCAGGCCTCTGGCCAAGAGTGATGTGTCTCTCCCACAATAGGCTCCAGATGGAGGGAGTCCCACTCATTTTTGGCTTTGACTCTCCCTACTGCTATCTTATGCCCCTGCCCCTAGAGGACAGCCCACCAGAGATTATCCCCACCAAGAAATTGTACTCCTCATCTGAAAGCATATTCCCCACTCTATTTTAGGAAGAAAACTGAATAAAAATCAGTCCCTGCAATTTCTTCAGTTAGACAGAAGCGCATTCATCCTTATTCTTATGATTGTTCAACTGTAGTCTAATGTATACAGGTTGAGAAAGAACATTAGACTACAGGAGAACAATCATAAGAATAAGGATGAATGCACTTCTAAATAAAGGAATGGCAGGGACTGGTTTTATATATATATATATATATCTTCTTCATCCCATTCTCTTTTTTGTTTTGTTTCGTTTTATGCATCATGCCAGACTCTCTTGTCCTCAAAGATCTCATCTTGACTTTCCATATATTGGAATAATTACTGCTTGTCTGAGCTTGGTTCAGCATCCTCCACCCTCTTATCCCACCTCCTTTTCAACCCTCAAGGGTCAGTGCTTTTGGCACCAACAAGCAGGGATTCCTATGATATCTTGGCTCTTTTAAGCTTCACATATTCTTCTACCTGTCTCCATCTGTCTCCCATTCCTTCCGCTTGAGCTCACAAACAGCAAATTTAGCACTTACGGTATGTTTGTGTCTGATGTCCCCTGGTTACTATGCAGTTAAAAAAAACAGCAAAGAGACATAAATTTGCTTGTCTAGTAAATGCAAATAAAATCATGGAAGGATTTGTCCTGAGGACATCCTTCAGAAAGAATAATTGGCATTTCCACCTCAGAAAAGAGGTTAGAAGTAGAAGGTGGAAAGGGAACTAAGCATAAGTGACAAATTGCATAAGTGACAAATTGCACGAGTTAAAATTACACACTTAAAATATGGAAGAACCTATATATCGATACATTTAAGAAATTTAAGATACATTAAGAAAAGTAAATAGCTTAATAAGGGTTACATTCTTCTTTCCTTTACTGAATTGATTCATCAGATATTTGTTGCTTCCTTTTCTTGGGGTCCAGAGACCCCCAACGAATATGAAGCAACCAATATAACCCTTTTATATTTGTCCCTTTGTTCCCTATCTGCTTATACCTTCACGGATCAGCTATTCCTCGGGAGCATAAGCAGAGAGAGGTTTTCCCTTCACAGCTTGCTAACGTCTGCCCAAAGGGAATTCCACTCTGGGGGCTGGGAGGTGGCTTGGTTCCCCTTTCCTCCTCTTCCTATGCCCGTGCGGCTTAAGTGGAGGGAGGGGATCAAAGGGATCCTCCAGCCTCTGTGGGATAGCTTTGTTCCATGCTTTCCCTCTCCTTGCTATGCCCCGCAGGGCTTAGCAAGAGGAGGGGGAAAGGGATCAAAGCACTGCAGGATCACTTTGATTCCTACATGAAAACTCTGGGAGAGGTTGTCCGGAGTTTTGGGGTCGGTGTCACGAGTATGCGGATGACATTCAACTTTATCTCTCTTTTCCACCTAATTCCAGGAAAGCTGTCTGGACTCTAAACCAGTGCTTGGCATCTGTAATAGGCTGGATGAGGGCAACCAAACTGAAACATAACCCAGCAAACAAAAAGGTGATCCTGGCTACTCACAAAGCAGATGAGGGAATAGGGATACTACCTGTGCTGGATGGGGTTACACTCCCCCTGAAAACTCAGGTCTGCAGCTTGGGTGTACTCCTTGGGTGGATTCATCCCTAAGCTTGGATGCCCAGGTGTCAGTGGTGGCCAGGAGTACATTTCCACAGCTAAATCTGGTTTTTCAGCTGTGCCAGTTCCTTGAGATGTTGGATCTGTCTACAGTGACACATTGCTTTAGTTACATCCCATTTGGATTACTGTAGCACGCTCTATGTGGGGCTGCCTTTGAAGACAGTTCGGTAACTTCAGCTGCTGCAAAACTCTGCAGCCAGACTACTGACTGGGGCCAGCTACAGGGAGCATATAACACGCCTTTTACAAGAACTGTACTGGCTACCTGTCTGTTTCCGGGTCCAATTCAAAGTGCTGGTCATTTCCTATAAAGCCCTATACAGCTTGGGTCCAGGTTACCTGAAGGACCGTACAGTATCTCTCTATATGTGCCTTAGGCAATTAAGATCAGCAGAGGAGGATCTCCACTTGGTCCCATTGGCAGCACAAGCACAGCTGACGTGGACACGGGAGAGGGCCTTCTCTGTGGCAGCTCCCAGGCTATGGAACACTCTCCCTCAGGAGACTTTTTTTTTTTTTAAAGGGATAAAAATGCTGCAGGATCACTTTGATCCCTACTTTCCTTCTCGGTTCCTGTAACTTCAGCCCGTTATTATATGTACTGCATTCTCCAAGGACTGAGAACAGATTCTGCTGCTCCTCTGTATGACAATCTTCCAAGTGCTATCATTTCTCCCCTCAGTCCTCTTTTGTCAAGGCTAAATATGCCCAGTTCTATCAGTCACCACAGGGATTAGTTTCCAGTTCCAGTCCTGATATTTTGCAATTTGACCCCTGCAATAGCTGTCCAAAAAACAATTTAGATTCTGAATTAAGTAGTTACATTTATTGGGCATATTACACATCATAGTAAAGTCTAACACTGGAAATGTAAACACTCAAAAACTGACTGCCTCCATATTTTCTAGGAATGTAGTGGAAAAAATTAGAATACAGTATTTCTGCCAATAAAAAATCTCACAGGATATAGCCTACCAATTTGGTAGAGAATGCTGATATATAAATGGCTGATATCCTTCTTACAACAAAGTATGTATTACCCAGTTGCAGCAGAATAAAAACAGCCTAACAATAGTTGACTGGCTAAGGAAGATGTGGAAAGTAACACTAATGTCTAAATACACCTATTTTAAAATATAATTAAATTATAAACAGAAAAAAGTGAAAAGGAAAAAAGGAAAGTGTACTAGGCATATTAAGAAGCAATTAAAAGTATCTTGTATGTGAAAGAAGTAATTTGTAGTGTATTAAATGATAGCTAATTTGCGCCATCTGTTATTGAGTATGGAGCCAAGATGACTGAACAATGTAGAAGGCTTGCCACTAGATGTACTCAAGGAAGGGGTGGATTAACCATTAAGCACAATAAACACATGCTTAGGGGCATCAAGGGAAGAGGGGGAACCACAAAAATTTTCCATAGCCCAATTTACCATGGGCCATATGGCACAATACTGCAAATGGTGCAGCCATGAACAAATTACATACAGATATAGACAATAATAACAAGAGAGAGTGTGTAGACCTCCACCAAGGGTCATGAAATCAAAGGGGGAAAATCCCCCCAAATGAAAGCAGGGGAAACTTTGTATGCAGTCTGTGAAATTTGTATACAATCTGTACAATGTCAGTAGAAAAAAACCAAACACACACATACTCCAACAAAAACATAACCTCCTCAGCAGAAGTAAAAATAATAATAATAATAATAGTAATGATAGACGTTAATGATATACATTAATGTTGGGAATACAACAAAATTAAACTGCCCAGAGTAGAACTTTGGTCTAGATGGGCAGGACGGAAAACCAACCAATCGACCAACCGACCGACCGACCGACCGACCGATCGATCAATCAAATTAGAATCTGGTAAGTTTAACTGCCTCATGGTCCGGGGAGGCTCACATGATTGTTTTTGTCTAACTTCTAA